TTATATCTGTGCTTCTTTTGCTGTCTTGCATATAGGGTCATCATTACCATCTTTCTAAATTCCATATATATGCATTAGTATACTGCATTGGTGTTTTTCTCTCTGACTTACTTCACTCCATATAATAGGCTCCAGTTTCATCCACNTTTTGCTTTTATTTCCATTACTCTGGGAGGTGGGTCATAGAGGATCCTGTGGTGATTTATGTCAGAGAGTGTTTTGCCTGTTTTCCTCTAGGAGTTTTATAGTTTCTGATCTTACATTTAGATCTTTAATCCATTTTCACTAACAGCATTTCTTAATAGGGTTTTGCCACCTCCCACTCCCAATAGAGTGGCCTTTACTTAAACTATTAATTTTGACAAGTAAGGTGTAAACACAGCTTAAGGATACTGGCCTCCCAAAATGTGGACATTTACCAAAGTATACTCTTTGGCCCTTGATATATGTCCACAGTAAATATTGGTTGATTGGTGACTCAGATTGAAACAATTTTCCTATTGTGTGATCTGAAAGTGTGTGTGGGCTAAGTAGCTTCAGTTATGTCCAACTGAATTTCAGACATGGAATTGGAATACATTTCAATACATTAGATTTTTGCCACAAAACAAAAAATATGTCACCAATTTATTCTTCTTCTGTCATATCAAAAGAAGAACAAATCTCTGAAAGTCAAATTATCCCTTCATGGGATGATGGATTTCTAAATGCTGAGTTCCTTCTTTCCAACAAAGAGATAATTCTGATGAATCGGTATTTACAAAGTGACATGTGGCAGGACGATGTTAGTTAGACAAATGTCTGTGTGAGCCTTAAAATACGACACAGTGATAATTTTTATGGACTGCCACAGGCAGGCACATTCAGATTTTCAGGACCTTCTGACTTTAAAGAATGGGTTTAGAAGCAAAGAGTTTGGGGATGCTACTAACCACACAGGGATATGGTGCATCAGGGATAAATGGTACAAACATTGAAGCAGGAGGTATTCGGCAAGCCCAAAGTTCAAAAATGCTTGGGGACACTCTACAGTGAGTGTGTGTGTGTGTGTGTGTGTGTGTGTATGTGTTATCCAGTCCTGTCTGACTCTTCACGACCCAATGGACTGTAACCCTCCAGGCTCCTCTGTCCACAGAATTCTCCAGGCAAGAATATTGGAATGGGTTGCCATTCCCATCTCCAGGGGATCTTCCCAACCCAGGGACTGAACCTGGGTCTGCTTCATTGAAGGTAGATTCTTCACCATCTGAGTCACCAGGGAAGTCCTTCTGGTGCTGAAATTCCATAATCTTCGAGCCTCATTCCATCATCCCATTTATAACAAGTTGAGTGTTGCCTGCCTACAAACTTGGCAATGCCTCTGTACACTGCTGTCCAATGAGCACTCCAGTGAGAATCTCCTGTGTATACATACATGCTTATTCAAATCCTTGACTTTATTTTCCTGTTAGAATTTGATATACATGCTGATCTTCCAGAGGACTGACATAAGGCAATAGGATCTTCATGACCCGCCATCCCCACATCCCAGGTAACTGCTTTGAGCCCAGAACAGCAGGCACTCGCCATCACCGAGCTATTACTATGAAATGATGTGATTTTAGATCCCCTGTTTGAGTGGTCTAATTTAATCCACAATAACTTTGGATGCAAACTTTTCTGATTCCCATTTCAAAGATGAGGAAAGGCTTTGACAGGTTAAGCAATATTTTCCAATCTCCCACAGGGATATATAGAGAGAGCCCTAGAACACAGTCCTAGCCTCTTTGACGACAGTTTCACAGCCATTTGGTAGAGTGATTTTTCTGATATCAAGATGGCCTCAATCTCTTCTGCAGACACATCACGTCATCTATTTTTTTTTCCTACTTCCTTTGACCTTGATATCTCCATAAAAACATACAATTCCCAAAGAGATCATATGCTGGCTTGGTCTCTGTGTCAGCAACACACTGGCGAGCATTAAGCGTGAACACCTACCCAGTGAGGCAGGGTTGGCAGAATGTACATTTAACCTGAAAAAAATCCCATCCGATCTTTCTTTTCATAGGTGACACATAATCTATAACGGACTATCTAAAAATGATGCTCTCTCTTAGGTGTGTAGCTGCCACCACATGCACGAGGAGATGGAACTCTTCCACGGAGCAGCGTGACTGGCATTAGTACCTGTCAGGTAGCATTTGCGTTTTCTGTGAAGCTAAAAACACCAACAAACCTCCTCAAGAGCATGGCCCCTTGGGGCAGGGCAGCCAAGACAACCGACAAGCAGGAGGGGTCCCTGGCGAGTCTCGATTTATATCAGTGACAATTAGGCAACCTCCAGGGAAGGTGGCATGAAGAATGTCCAGTTCTCAAGGCTGAGAGATCTTGGAACTGGTATCAGGGAAAGTTGGGATTTGCTTAAAATACTGAAGAATGTGGTAGCTTTCCTTGTTTGAAGGTGACTTGAAGCGCATATGGAAAATTTACAGGAATAAGAATTACATGGTTGTTCATTTAAGTTCCTATAAGAATCTACGCACAAGTAACCCCACATTATATTATAAAGCATATACAGTTTTTTTAATGATGATTTTTTTGTTTAACAATTATTCTCCTTTTTGTGACTTTGTAACATCTTGGGTTTTTTAGAGCTCACTGTTTCCCCCTGATCTCAGGGACTTGCTCTCTCCAAATAGTTATGGATCCCACACCTCATCTTCAAGACTCATCTGACCAGATAACTTATGTAATGATCTTGAATGATCCAAGACTACTTGGAGCTAATAGATAATAAGTAGCTCATGATGGGTAAAGAGGCTACATATTCCAGAAAAAAAAAAAAAAGACACGCATGCTAGTTTGTGCCTGAATACTAGGAATCAATATTTCAGGACTTTCTTCTTCTTCAGCAGAGACCAGTCACAGAGAGATATGTGAAGGGGGCTGTTTTCTGCAGTCCTCAGACCAAGACACCTACTAACTACACTCTGCACTGCGAGATGATTCAGCCTGCCTCCGCCTCTGGTTGCTTCTTCCCCACGTGCCCATTCGCTTGGTGCTTCAAAATCTGATACCAACATAAGTTGTCCCTTACTTCATCCCATATCCTTAAGTGCACCAATGGCTTCCTTCTCCCATCCACTCTTTTCTTTCATTAAAACAATTTCTCAATACAAGAATTCTCAGTAATACAATTTATTATGTCATTTCTCTCGATGTTTTTTTGTGATCTAGCAAATCTCAGTCTGTTCTTTGCCCCATTTTTCCACTTCCAAGCTCCAAAGTGTCAGGATTTTTGAAATAGTCTTTTGGGACTACTTTCAAAGAAAATACAAGTTTCGTTGAATTTGGACAAAGAAAGTACAAGAAATAATAACAAACACAGACCACCCATGTTGTTATAGTCAATAATGGAAGAACAAATACACTGATAGTGGTAATATCTACCTTCACGCAGGATGGCACCTTCTACTGCAAGGGAAGTGGTAAGTAAGAAGAGAGAAGATATTTATGTAACTTGGGGTCACAGGTAATTTAGCAGATGTGATCACAGATTCTTCACATGGAGGAAGCATGATATGAAAACACAAACACTGCTGTTTCTATTTCTGAAGGTAGTGGTTTGGATAATGAGCTTGCATGTTTTTATAAACTTAAATTCTCGATAATCAGCACTAAAATATGACTGCAGACAAAACAGTCTGGTTAGAGTATCTACACAGACTGGAGATGGGTCTGAGAATGATCCTAAGGGCCATCAGAGCATTCAGTCCCCCTTTCAGACTCTACAAAGCAACAAATGTCAGAAAGAGCCAGAAAACTGTCATCAATCATTTAGATACTTCTAGCACATTTGGATGTCCCCTGTCATGGAGATAAATTATCCACATGTCAAACTAATTTTTCGGTTTCCACTTGAAAGCTTTGTGTCACCTAGGTCTAGTAAACATTGAATTAATGTTTTTTTTCTCCCCAACCCCCCGCAACATTATTGGATCCTATTACTGACAGCACTGTTGTTATACACTATGGTCTAGAGAATGTGGTTAATCTGATAGCCTAGGTAACTGAGTCACATATCCAGTTGTGTATTATACAGATTTTTCAAATCATTATTGTAACTCATATCTCTGTTTATATCTTATCTCCCCTTCTTCGCATGCATACACACACCAAAAATAAAGCAAAAAACTCCTTGAGGAAAAGGTCTAAATTTCAGCATCTTCATACCATTCATGGTATTTTAGTACTGTGCTCAATATGCATTACTCTTCATTAATAGATGTTTGCTGAATGGGTGAATCTATAATATCTGGATGGCCAATATTCGAAGACCTATATTGCAGAGAAAAACTACTCATGAGTGTATACAATATGAATGTCTCTTTCTTGATCATACTAAAGACATTTCAGGGTTTGTGCTACCTCAAGGTTATCATGGCAAACGTTGAAGCCCACTTACGCATAAAATTGGTGAATGCTATTTAATAGAGGGCTAGGTGGTAAGATGGTAGGACACACTACACACTTGTGCAAGATCTCCTACAATTTCCAGGATCCGAAGGATAAAGACCCAAATCCACACATGTCCCATCAGAGCTTATCACTGTGTCCATATCTTTATACATCCAGCCTTGACTCACACATTCGTCCTATTCTCTTGAGAGCACGTTTTTCTGCTTTTCAAGTCCTCTGAGGTTCCATCATTTTTCCTGCTATGAGCCCTGTGCCATGCTCTCTCAGAAACTCTCCAGTCTGTTCTTCTCCATTCCTAACCAGCCAGTGTCTACTCATCTTTTGAGAGAGCTTCTATCTTTAAGATGAGTAAAATTCCTTGATTATATGCCCATACACACAAAATATTTACTACAGTGTATAATTATGTATTCATAGAAAAGTNAATTCAATTTACTGTTTCAATTTGTCTCCAGCCAAGCTTCCTTCTGTCAGCTCTACAGAAATTTCAATGCTGGCCACGTAGAGTACCAGGAGAAGGACAATGAGAATGAGATTACCTGTGCATTTGCGATCTGTGTCTTCTTTCTTTGACCCACTAATCGTCAACTTGCAGTTGAAGTTTTCCTCCCAGTATTCGGCAAACCATACGTTTCTTCGGTTGTTTTCAAGTGTGCGGGATGTAAAATAGGCATCAAACCCTAAACAGAGTTAAATGAAAAGGTCATTGCTTGCAGGGCACTGCTGGAACATTTGGAAATAAAAATACCAGTAATAGTTTTTCTTTGTTTTAGTGGACTGGATGCTTGCTCTTTTGTGTCAATCAAAAAACAAACAAACAAAAAAAAAGAATAAGAAAAAGGTAAAAAATTCTAATGCCAACACACATGGCTAAATCTTCATTCTATTAGGCAGATGCGTGGCCAACAAATGACATTTCACAGTGAAATCTGAGTTACAGATCTTAGCAACAATATGATGACCACAGCATTCCTTGTGCCTCTTGGGAACTAGACCAGGGACAAAGCATCTTTATTATCACCAAGATAATAAGTGATCATTTCCATACTTACTATGGACCAGACTCTGCTTGACATAGGTTCTTCCTTTCATTCATTGAGAAATGAAAGGTCATTCCTTCTTAACAACCTGTGTGGCAGCTGCTATCACTTCCATTATGCCAGTGAAAAAACAGAGTCTTGGAAGAAATAAGGGTTTCCCTGGTGGCTCAAATGGTAAAGAATCTACCTGTAATACAGAAAACTAGGGATTCGATCCCTGGGTTGGTAAGATCTCCTGGAGGAGGGAATGGGAACCCACTCCAGGATTCTTGCCTGGAGAATCCCATGGATAAAGGAGCCTGGCAAGCTATAGTGCATGGAGTCACAAAGAGTCAAATGTGACTTAACAACTTAATATATTCATATGAGAAGAAATAGCAACATGCCTAAGGCCAATCATTATGCCATATTCTCCATCCCTAATCAGGTGAGTTATGACCTGTGATTATCATTCTAAGAACCTTCCTGCATTTAGTAAGGATCATTATGGAACTGACTTTCCAGTCAAAAAGTAAGTTTATGTAGAGATCATAGGTAAACTGACCCCAACATAAGTGCAAAGCTGTTTATTGAGAGCTTTAGATGAACAGACTTGAGAGTATAAGTCCCTAGGAAATCTTTAGCTATCTTGTTAGTATGGTTCACCCTTAAACTGTCCGATGGTCCTGCAAGAATCAGATTGGACTTAGGATTGGAAGAGCGGGCATTGAATCCCAACTCCACAAACCTCAGTAAGTCCTGGAAACATGAATAAGTACAGGCTGCAATGGTCTTATTTCCCTTTCATTGACCTCTAAGATGAAAACCCTGTTTTCCTCACAGCATCTTGTTTCCAGCCATGGTAAGAATTTGGAAACTCATTGATTTTAAGATCAAGAACCACAGAAGGTGGATTTATTTTCACAGTAATTAAATCAAAGTTAAACTTATTTAAAACCCTAAGCGGAGGGTGGAGCTCCCAACTAAATCTCACAAGAGGAGCACATTGATTTAATTTTATCCACCACCATCTGACTGCTTCAATACACAGTAACCCCACTATAAGTGGAAAACTTGAAATAAGTAAATGAGACAAAGAAACAGCAAAGAAAAAGGAGATAGCATAATATTTTAGGGAAAATAAAAATAACTGTCTACATCTCTTGCTTATTTTCTAGGGTGTTGTCAAAACACAATATCCAGTCTTTCTATGCTCCTGACCTCATTGATTTGAGGTAATCGAGCTACAGCGTCAGATCTCACCCTGATCTCCGTCTTGACAGACTCATGAGCCCGCTGGAAGTCCCCTCTTGCCTCACTGTTCTCCCATAACCCTGAGACCCAATGACTGTCCAGTAAAATGTCAATTCCTAAATAAAAGGAATCTTTGGGGAAAAGACTGGTGAGTCCCCCAAGGTTTCCAGGAATACTACACATACACCCTTGGTCATGTAAACACATGCATCCACTCAACACAGGTGACTAAATTTCATTTCTCTTTCCATCTTTGCCCCTCCACCCGAGGTGGGGGAGCAACAGTGGTACTGGTAGCCCCGACAGACCGTACTTCCTAAGCTCCATGCCCTTCTGACATCCCGTCTTATGGAGGTGGCTTCTTTGTCTGTGGGCCATTGGCATGTGTGATGCCAATAGTCTGGAAAACCTTTACTCACTGCGCCTCTTCTTTGTGAGAGTCTCCTGCTTGGAATCCAGCTACCAGGCTCTAACAGGACGACAGGCTTTCCTGGGGTACAGGAAACTATGTGGAAAGAAAGGAGCCTAGCCAGACCCCAACCCTCTCAGCCAAGCCTCTACGGACTTCGCACCCCTCCTGCTGACTGCAGCAGAACCACTCAGCTGAGACCAGCCCTGGTTGCAGAACTGGGGTGAGTCGTCTTCTCAATCACTGATGGCTGAGGTGGTTTATTTCTGCAGCCGCAAAGTGAAATGCACCTGCCTTGGCACAGCACCCTGAGCCCTGAACAACACACCCTTAAGGAAGACACAGCCTCCAAAGAACACAAATAGAAATAAACTCTCTGGCCACATGCCACAGGTCTGAGCCTCAAACCAGCCTCAGAAAAGCAACTTCTAAAATGGCTCAAATTGTTGCATCCATACCTACATTCCCCAGCTCAGGAGTAAACATCTTCAGAGGAATCCTCATCACTGAAAAAGTCCATCACTTCAAAACACCTCTCTCTTCAGCCTGTTATCTGCTGGAAATGCAAAGACATGCTGGGTCAGCAAGGACCAGGGAGCAGCTAGCAAACACACTGGCGAGCATGAGAAAGTAGCAGGTCCCTCCCTCTAAGTGAGAACCAACAACTCCCAGAAAGCCTGCACTCTAACAGAAAGTGGAAGAGTAGCAGGCTTTCCTAGTTGCAACCGTCATCCTTTTCCTCACACATCAAGTTCACTCTCAGCTTCCTTCTCACAGCAGGGACTCACTTGTAGGCTGAATTTGGCTTTCATGCACCCCAGGAATGAGCGACCAACTTTGCTGGGCATTTTATAAGATGCGGAGGTTCTGGGTGAAACCAAAGAGGCTGCGATTTTAACAAGCCCCAGGTGCTGTGCATGAAGCTCGGGTTTTGAGAAGCAGGGCTTCGCCAATCCTGGGTTTTTAACAAGCTCCAGGTGTTGTTCTTGTTGCCCAGATTCTGAGAAGCAGGGCTCGAGAGCGACTCCGGAGTCTCCACAGCTGGGATTCGAGCGGGCTCAGCCCAATTTGTTAACTCAGCGTTGTTACTTTCTCAACCTTGAATGTTTGCCCTGGTTCAGATGCCAGGGTCTTCATTTTGCAGTTGAGACTTCTGCTTCGTACCATACCTTGCTCAGCATTGCAGGAGCCCTGCTTTGCCTCCTGTGGGCTGCAGATGGCTGGGGGGAGGTGGAGGGTGCTGGGTGACCTATGAGTGAATTTTCCTAGTGTCTTTGCTCCGTTGCTGCCTGGGGCTCCTTTGCAGCCTCAAAGACTGTGTTCCTCACCCATGTCTGAGTTAATGCCCTGGACTCCCCACGTCAGGAATTTTAATCCTGGTGCAGTGCTTTAGCGATTCTAAGAAGCTAACCAGAAATAGCCTTGTGCCTTTGAAATGGAGGAGGACTCTATGGTTCTTCTCACCTCTGTCCTCTGCCTGCTTGTGTCTGTAGAAGAACTTTACCCAAAGAGTAAGTTTAATCAGAGAAGTGAGAAAATGCAGAAGGAAAGGAAAACAGTCAAGCAGGACAAAATAATGATAGTTTAGTCATTAAACCAAGTCAAGAGCCTTTAGTTCCTCCTTGAGGGTTACAGACAATATTCTGAGCCAGGTCCTGTGAGCCGTCTTGTAGATACTGAAACCCCCACCATGTGGAAGAAGTTAATTACATGATGACCAGAGTGTAGCCATGACGTATGCTGCCACAATTCTGAGAACTAGCCTCAACAAAATGGGATCAAACTGACCCTGGAACTAAAGATTAACTGTACTCAAAACAATTGAGATGACACCATCAGACCGTGGGGTGACCAAAAACTGCCAAAAACCAAAACTGCGTGGTTTTTACATGTAGCCCCTTCTCTGCCCATGCACCCCTGAAACTCCCCTTTAAAAGCTCTTGCCCACTGATTGTCAGTGGGAGAGTTGAGCTCTGGACACAAGTCTGCCCTTGGCCCTGGTTGCTGGCCTCTGAAATAAAGCAAACTTTTCACCAGTTGTGCCTCTTTATTGGCTTTTGAGTGGCAAGCAGCCAGACCCCAATTTTGGTCACATGTTAATTACCTCTTCTGAAGGACCATCGCCTTCAAGGAAAACTCAGAGCCCTTAGCCAGGTACCAACAAAGCATAAACTGGCTTTTGGATGGTTTTCTACAGACTGGAACTGCTAACCCGTCGGAGACCTGCGACGGGTCTGTGGGTCTTTACAATCCACTATTTGTAAAGCACTCAGCACTGCGCTGCTCCAGTAAAATACGAACTGTTGGTTCTTCAGTAAACACACCCATGCATTAAACATTTATGGAGCACCTACCCTATGACAGGCAGTCTTCTCTGTACTCACAGACCTTGGGATTAAAACATAGATGGCCCTTCATGAGAGTAAGAGCCAGTCTGATGGAGAAGATAGACTTAACAAGCACCGTTTAGATAAACATAAAATTACAACTATGATGGCTTCTATGAAAGAAGGGTACATGGTGTTTTGGGAGCACAGAGACAGAACTGTGTTAGGGAGTCAGAGAGGGCTTCCTGGAGAGAGTAGATATGTAGGTGGGAAATGGAAAACCAGGGAGCAGATAAGAGCAGAGATAGGACATTCACTCACATGGAATAGCTATGCTTTAGGAATATCCCCTTCATGGGTAACTGCCTTGTGGTGGTGAAGGGCTTGCATAACTCAATGAAGTTATGAGTCATGCTGTGTAGACCCAAGACAGATGGGTCATAGTGGAGAGTTCTGACAAAACATGATTCACTGGAGGAGGGAATGGCAAACCGCTGCAGTATACTAGCCATGAGAACTCCATGAACTGTATAAAAAGATAGAAAGATCTAACACCGAAAGATGAGCCCCCTAGATTGGAAGGTGTCCAATAAGCTACTGAAGAGAGTGGAGGAGAATTACCAATAGCCCCAAAATGAAGTGGCTGGGCTAAAGCAGAAACAATGTTCAAT